CCCACCTGTCTCGCCCACATCCTCCAAAGAGTAAACTGATGGACAGCTGTTACATGCCGTTACAGCTCGCTACCCCCGTCCTTAAGAGGCAGGTCGGGACCTCGGTGGACAGTGCTAAGCAGGCTCGAAGTTCCGATCGAAGTTCCAACACCTGCACAGCTTGCGTCTTTTGACGAAGACTTTTTTGGGAGGAATTCGCCGCAAGCAAACAACTTTTGACGTGCTCTTACATCACGCAGGATATCATGAATGCAGCGCGTCCTGGAAATGATGGCGATCGCGACGATCTTGAGCCGGTGGCAACCGGCCGAGGAGCACCTTGTCTTGAGGGCTTGGCCCCTTCAAGAGGAACTTGCGGAGGGGGTTATGTGGGGGCAATGTGGGAAAGTAAGGCCTTTTTCGGGGCCACCGTTCTATGCAAAGATTGAGGCCAGCTGAACGCAGCAAACGCAACATGCCACAACTCAGGCAATGCTTACTTCAACCTGTGGCAGCCTCGCATCCACTTGACACTGCCACTGCCTCGTGAGTCAAGTCTTTGCAGCATCGCTTGCATTCGAAGGTAGGCCTTAGCAGCTTCTTATCCAAACCACAGCCATTGGACAGGCAAAGAAGGTTCCAACGATAACCACCTCTACCCCGCAGCATCTTGCACAAGCTTTGTTGAGAGCCCATCAGCCGGATGATGATGATGATGGTGGTGATGATGATGATTCTGATTCTGATTATGATGACGATGACGATGACGATGACGATGATGATGATGATGATGATGGTGATGTATCGTTGGTTCAAGATTAAGCAAAGACGTCCAAGAAACATCCACTATTAGCAGATCATCCTGTGACAAATGCGGGACACGAGCCTGCTTTTGAAGCCTCTCGTGTCGTCTCGCCCATTCATCTAAACCTCAGGGATGAAATTCCTGCACATCTGCTCAGGCAAGTGTTGTGGCTGAATGGCGGTTCATGTCAGTTTTGGGGAGTCAATGATGGGCTGTACGCCCCACTTTTTGTTGAACGCCTTTGACACTAAGCCAAAAACTGCTGCTGACCATTGTCAGCCGGGCGTCAGTTTTGCTGCGCAGCGGCATGCCTTCTAAGCGAACTCCTCAGTCTCTCGCAGGTTGGGCATCTTGCCACATGTTCTGCTCCAATTAAGGAATCAACTGGCACCTGAAGACCTGAGACCCATCAAAACTTTGCTTGATCTGGCCGAAAGCACTTCAAAGAAGCTGGAAGAGACGCAAGCACGTCACCAGAATCAACAGCAGTGGCTGACGACATCCTCAGTAGCGTGACGAAGGTGTCGCTGCAGAGGGGGGCAACATGGACGAGAGGCTCAATGCTACTTCAAGGAAGTCGTGGGAAGGGTCCGAATTGTGAGAAGGTGAGCATAACGCCAAGCGTCGTGTTGTTGGTAGTGCCATGCCCAACCACTAGCAGCTCCAGGTCCTCGGACGACTCCTCCTCGACCTGTACAGATGGCCAGGAGCCATCCTCCCACACCCGAAGGGGCAAGGACGTCTCTCTGAGGATGGGAGGTTGCTCATACTATGCGCAACACGCTACTACCAACCTAAGCCAAATTTGCAGTTGTCAGAACATTGGCTTATTGTTCAACCTCCAGTTTGATTGTTTCTGCCACGTCTGCCACTGCCTCGGTGTGGGCCCTGCTGTTGCCAGACGCGCCCTGCACACCTCAGCCAGGCTCCAGAATGCACTTGCTATCAGCTTGCTATGACAACACCCCAATGAGTTGATGCGTTCTGCAAAAACCATCATAGCTGCCATATCTAGACATGACGGACGGCAGCAGGATATTGGCATCTGTCAAAACTGCAAGCGTAAATTTGGCATTAACCCATATGTGCAAAGCACTCTTTTCAAGTCAGCGTGTCGTTGCACCCTGTAGGTATTTCCGCGCTGCCCTTCGAGCAAATCAAGATGATATAGTTCATCAACCGCGTTCTGTACAACCAAACCACTTGCTTGAAGCCTGCACAAGACGTCACCGGATCACGTCTCCGTAACAAAGTGCAACGCATTTTTGGCTGCTGCGCTACTAGTACGAAGCGACATAGCCAGCACTTGGAGAGCTGTCGACCTTTATAGAGACGCTCTTCACCAGACCCCGCGGATGATCAACAGCGTTGCCCTTCAGAATTCCCATCATGTAGGCTAACAGTTGCAGCGGGAGCATTGCAAGCAAAGGCATCAAATACTCGTGAGTTTCCGGCACGCCAATGACGTACTCACACAACTGCTCGAGCTCGCTATTGTGTTTTTCCGTTATGGCGATTGTGGCGCCATTTCTGGCGCGGACTTCTTCAATGTTGGCCTTTATTTTCTCATAGGTGGCATCGGCCTTGGGGCAAATCACCACGACCGGCATGAATTCATCTATAAGTGCGATTGGGCCGTGCTTCATCTCGGCAGCTGGATAGCCCTCTGCATGTATGTAGGCCAGCTCTTTACATTTCATGGCACCCTCGAGTGCTATTGGGAAATTGAAGCCCCGCCCAAGGAAGATGAAGTTTCTTGCCAGAACGTTTTGGCAGCCGATATCCCACAAGGGGCACTCACCGATTTCGATGGATCTGTCGCCGAGTTCGGTCACAAGAGGCTTGGCCTCCTTGTCCAAGACCTCCTGCATGCTGTCCGGCAAGTCCTGAATTTTCTGGACTAGCGTCTCCCTGTCGGAGCCCATTTGTCCACATTCATCTGCTAGCGCAAGGCTTAAAAGAACAAACATCATGTTGGTTGCTGAAAAAGTCTTCGTTGATGCCACGCCGATCCCTTTGCCGGCTCCGACATCCAAAGCAATGTCACACTCTCTGGCTAAGGTGGAATCTAGTTGGTTGACAACTGCAATGGTGAGGACGCCATGGCCACTAGGGGTGTTCCGTACACGACGAAGTGCTTCGACTGCATCCGTCGTCTCTCCGGACATTGACACGACCACTAACACGTCGCCGGAGCGCAGAGGTGGCTCACGATACCTAAATTCTGATGCATACTGCGACTCCACTGGAATTCTTGCCATGGTCTCAATCAAGTACTCTGCCAGCAGGGCAGCATGCCAGGAAGTTCCGGAGCCAATCACAGTAAGTCTGTTCTCAAAGCCCTTGTCAGACACTCGGCTCTGTGAGCACGCCGCCATTACCTCCAGTGGGCTCTTCCCAGCCAGGCCATGCGCCTCTGGCAAGGATTTTCTAAGTCCTGGGATCTCCACCTTGCCTCCTTGTAACTGTGCCTTGATTAGGGCACGGAGGACACGCGGTGTATCCCAAATGTCGCTTAACATGCCCTCTGCGGAGATCCGATCCGCTATCTGCAGTGGTGCCTGCATCGATCCAGCTTGAGCTTTCTTGCCAGGTTCTGCCATGGCATCACCAACTGCAGTTTTGATGCGAAATAGCTAGTAACATGTAAGAATGCTCTCTGGCCAGCTTTGTGGAAACTAAGCCGTACAGAAATTGTCGCTGAAGCTGCTGTCTTGCCAAGTAAAGCTGAGCAAACAACAGAACAGTGCGAAGCCAAGTCACCGGTATCCGCCGTGGCAGGCAGGTTCAAAGATTCGCGCACCAGCTGTTCGAGCAGCATGCGCTCCTGCCGAAGTGCATACCCTTTGATTACTTACTGTGGGTGGCAAAATAAAATGCTCAAGGTATTTTGCGCTTCCCAGTCAGTCGGAAACAGAGGCTGACTTTGATTGCCCTTTAGTTGTGCTTCGCAGGCCTCGGCAGCTCGGGTCTCCTGCTCCGCGATCCATTTCCTTGGCAGCGAGGAATGCACATTTCAGGGTGGATGGAAGGTACAACTCTCCAAAAAGGATTAATTGGGCTCAGGTGCGCAACATGTTCTGTCTGGCTGGCCTGGGCACTGGTCAGGCTTCAGACACCAAACAAAACGTCAGACACCTCTTGTCAGGATGAGCCCTAAACCCTAAACCCTAAAGCCTAAACCCTAAATCCTAAAGCCTAAACCCTAAATCCTAAACCCTAAACCCCTAAACCCTGAATAACCCATTGATGGTGCCTGGTGCTCCTGGAAAGTCTCCACAAGTTGGTGTGCCACTTGGTCCGGCGCAACCTAAGATGGCGCATTCAAGGTAAGAGTAGCAACAGGCCTACTGTATCTTCTGTGTATATGCGATGCTCCTTCTTGCATCTGATGCTTTTTGACGGCCCGCAATTGACCACATGTTTTCTGTGCCAGCCAAGCTGCGCTTCCAGGCAGTTGCGCAGGCCATACCTGCACAAAACCAGCGATTCTGCTTTAGCAAAAGAAGGTGCTTGGACCCATGCGAGCTCCTCAGCCTTGATTTGCAAAAACCAACAAACGATTTCAACAGCCAAGCTGCACTATCCTGTGACCAAGCTTGTCCCTGCGAAGGCCGGCCTCGGTTCGGCAAGAACAATACATGACAGCAGAAACATGGATGCTGCCAGGCCTGCGAAGGCTCTTGGATATGTGGCTAGCAGACTTCTTGCCGCAACAAATCCGGTTTATGCGACCTGCTTGCACCGATGCATCTTTATGCCGACACGGAGCAGGGCGCAGCAGCAGCCACCCAGGCCATGTTGGTGGCAACATTTGAGCCATGACAACTAAGCTGCGAGAAGAACAACCAACTTTGCAGGCAAACCTCCCACCAAAACTGAGCTCTGAAACTCATCTTCATCTCTGGTTGATGCCCATTGTTTTAAAGCACTTCTGTAGCTTCCAGAACATACCCTGTGAAGGTAAGCTGGGGCTCGATTTTCCACAGTGCCGGTCATAACAAGGTAGGGGATAGTCGCTGTAGATGATTTTGGTCGACTGTTCCACATTGGAAGAACACTTTCTTCTTTTGAGGCGTCCCCGAGTAAAAGACCACGTGATATCCAGTTCTCATTTCATGTTCCATTTGCTTTTCCATGTACTTCTCCACTATGAATAAAAACATTCTTGCCTTGAGGCATCCCTGTTCTCTTGAGCTCCTTTGCTGGATCGAGCCTCAAAGCGCTCCGCCGTGTCGCCCTGAGACCGAGCTATGCAGCGCAACACAGCAGATTCTGACGAACCTACTTGTGCCAACAGGATGTTGCGACATGCAGCAGACTGGCGGAGATTCTGGTGCGTGTACTTAGTGTACTTGAGCAAACTGATCAGAACAGAGACGGACAATCAATGCATTGCAACCTGTCGTGGCAGGTTAGAGGACATCCCGTTGGCAGCATGCATGGCTTCGCAAAGCTACCGGGGGACCTCTTGATTATGTGAAGGTTCGTTTGAAGCAACTCTCCTCACACGTGATGTCCCTTGATCTTTAGGCCCGTGCTCGACTTGCAATGGCACTTGCAGCCTCGCAAAGAGGCTGGCATCCCTCCAAACTATGTTGTCCGTATGACAATGGCTACTTCATTTTTGTTGGTATGCAAAGGGGCCCTAAGACAAAGAGATGCCCCGATCTGTGGATGAGGCAGAGACACCATTCTATCTGGCTGGGCCTTCGGTGTTTCACCATCCGCCATGTTTTTCATCCTCAGCGGGGCTATCCACTTTCAGCGGCACAAGAATTCATCACCCCCTATTCCCAGAACCCAAGAGATGAAGCATGATCCTGGCGTACACCCACTTAGCGCAGCAACAGCGGAATGCTAGGGCAATCTTTCAGGCTTGCCTTTTCTCCAGATGGGGTAGAGCAGGATCAGTCGAAGCGCTAAGCTGTTTCAGCACAAAGCTGTGAGGTACACAATTAGATACAGGCTCAATCTGCCAGCACCGGTAGCTCCTGTACATGTTGAAGAGGCCTGGCACAAAATCTCTGGGCACTAGAGCTCGGCCGCTGATCAGGCGAGACCCCATGCCTCTGCGACTTTCATCCATATTCCTGCAGCCCTTTGGGCCTAAAGCTGTACAAAGCCAAACCTGGCGGCAAGGAATCAACGCATGTAATTATACAGCAACACGTGCACAGCATGTACGGAAACACTCTCCTCTTACACTAGCGGACCTAGCGTTAGCGCACTTGCTCCAAAGGCAAGTGAAGACAGTTCAGCAAACAACGACCCAGGAAGGTATCAGATATGACGCGCACACCTGCGAGCAAATGCTTGGCCTGCCAGCCGCACTGCACGCAGCTCCCAGGTGGGGTCAATCAGGCCTCAGTAAATAATCAGGCACCTGCCTACGATATGGATAGAATGGGGATGGCAGGAACAATGGCAGGGCCTGTGAAGACTTATCTGCAGTCGAGTTGCAGGAACACTGCGTTCACGTTATCCGCCACCCGCAGCAGGTACAAGGATGCAATGCTGCCGAAAGGCCCCCAACGTTTGGCAAAGATTTCCATCTGCGGCCGAGTAGGCATCCAGGATACCTCAAAGATCTTTGAAATATTCAACCCGACGTCCTGACATCGACGAAGCATCCTGAAATATTGCTGAGACACCTCATTCTTGGCGGTGATGTTAGCGGGAGGCATGATGTTGTAGATCATCTTCATTGCACTTTGTATGGCAACATCTCCATAGGGAATTCCTGGCAGAAACGTAGCGAGCAAATTTGAACGCTCGCTGCTTGAGCTTCAATCACGAAAGCCTTTTGCGCATTCACATCGGCACGCTTATCTAAAAAGATCTATGGCGGGATAGCCACGTTCTGGGCAGGTAACTCTAAAGAGGACTTGCTTTCTCCCATGCTAACAATTAACACTCGGCCTCCGTGGCGGTGAAGCTGGAAGATCAGAAACATCTCCTGGGTTGCCGTTAAGGAACTTAATTCAAGTTACTATGACGGGGGAAGCCTGTTAATTTCAAATTACTAGATATACCATTATGGTAACGCACATTAAGTGCCTTTACAGCAGCCCAGTCTCCAGTGTCCAGTCTCCAATGCCTGGGAGCTGCGTCAGCCGCTGCCGCAGCTCCTCGTCCGAAGCCTGCGTGGGCTCGGAACAATACCAAGAAGGCCTACACGAACCGTGACAATAGAAACGAAAGGATGATGACGATGATGGTTATATGCTTCTGCACGAACTCAGACTAATACTATGTTTGGCAGTCCTCTGGAACCAGTCAAGTTCCAGTGTTCGCCCATGTTCGCAGAACAGCTGCACTCCCGGACAAGAGGTTTAGTGGTGCCAAAACATGGCTAGCAACTTCCAAGTAACCAACAATGATGGCATAAGTGATGGCACGATGGCGAGAATAGCTGATTGTGCTAGCTGGGGAAAGAGAGCCACTATCATCTTGTATCATACTGCTTGCTCGCTGAGGCTATGAATGATTGAATCGCCGGAAGTCTTTTCCGCATTTGGTCGCCAATAGCCTGACAACCAGGAACCATGTCTGAATGTGTTACAACTGGATAGTTCGATTTTTTTAGACATGCCTACAAAATCAGTTGCAACGCTCGGGAACGAGAGCCGCTATCATCTTGTATAATAATGTTTGCTCGCTGAGGCTATGAATGATTGAATCGCCGGAAGTCTTTTCCGCGTTTGGTCGCCAATAGCCTAACAACCAGGAACCATCTGAATGTGTAAAGAGGACTCAAAAAGCAAAAAGCAGGATTCATGTTGAAGTGCAGCGAAAGATTCTTCAATCAATAATGCATCTCTAAACTAAGGTGGCCCTCTCCTCACAAACAAGGCGCCGCCGCACACGCCGCAAGTTCTAGACCACCGTAAAAGAAAGGCTTCGCCAGGTTGCCTCCTCAAAGATCTGCCCGGACAGAGTTCCATCCAAAAAGCGCTGAGCAATCTTCTGGATGTACTCGATCCTGGTGTGACATCACCCCTCAGGTGCTTCAACGCAGCGTCAGGACCGACTGAAGAGATTATCATTTTTGATCTCCCATTGCAGGCCGAAAGGCTTCCGGTATGACAGTTTGGCGACTTCGCGGATCCTGACACGTCATGTGGGCCTTGCTAAGCTACAGACCTCAAAATGGCTTCAGAAACCCCACATCAATTCTAAGGGTTATTTATCTCTTCCTTCTGGGATTCTGCAAAGATTCTTGATTCAGCAAGATTGCGAACGCTTGATCAGGATGACAGGCCCAAAATGTTTTTGAACATGAATGCTGCAACTGCCTCTTTCCGGATATGAAAATGCCAACAATCTGGCTATGTACCAGATGGAATCCTCTCAGATGCCCAAAACTACTATGGCCGTTTTGGGAAACCTTGAAAAAGTATCAGGTTTCGGAATTCAGCCCACCTGTCACGTCCCAAAAAGAATGGAACACAAATTTCAGAGCACGGGAAACAATCCTCCTTTGAGCCAGGCATGCTGAACAATCTAGAAAACTTCCTAGGGTTTAAGGTCCAAGGTTAAGGTTTTGGGTTTAAGGTTTAGCGTTTCGGGTCTAGGGCTTATTCATGTAACCACTTACCTTCAGAGGCCATTGCGGGGGGGTCTCGATCGTCGGATTCTACTCATCCTTCAAGAAATCCTATTACAAACAAGGCTCGGCAAAGCAACATAACTTGGATGATGGACATCAATGGTCTCAAGCACCCAACCCACCCAAAATCAACCAAATCAGACTTGGACAACCAACCCAGGGGAATGCACTGCAATGCTGGCTCCGGATCTTATAGACAGCCTGCCAAGAGTTGGGCTACTCCTCACTGTGCAACACTCTGCAGAAATTCAAGCCTGTCACAAGACTCAGCGACCACGCGGTCCGGCTGCAGAACTTTTGTATCCTTGGATAGTCAACTCTTGAGCAGGTCTACAAGAAGGGATCAATGCAAAAGTGGGGCCTCTCTTGAGGATTACGGCGGTGCAATTAAGATACTGCAATACGAGGGGACGAAGGTTGGGAGACGTTATCAGAAACAGATCGCCACCCGCTCCTCCTGGTGGTGCGCGCTTTTCCGGCGATGTGGCCACAAGAAGATGGTTGTCTCATGCCCATTTCTTGTCAGATGGCTTATTCGAGGTGGCCAGGCCAGTGCAACATCTTACTGAAAAACTCCACCTTGCCAGCAAAGCGCAAAAGATCGCAAGCTCCAGGGGGGCAAAAAAGAACAACCAAAATTCCCTATCCCTGAACAAAAATGCCGTCTTTTCTGCTTTATCGTCTTAGACCACTTACCAGCCAAAGCCCAGACTGGTACTACAAAACTACAAGAGCGAAATGTGCGGAACAGTCAGTAAGAGAGTACCCAAGCACGGGCTCATTGAAACAACATTGTGGTCTTAAAGTATCGGTTCACAGCATGGCTGTAGTCAACCGCACGTGAATAACACCCAGGCATGACCCCACATTTTCACAGTATCGTTGTTTTATGGTGGTGTTCCTCCGTATTGTTTTACGGAATGGAAACCGTTTCATTTATTCCGGGCCTGCCCTTGCAAAATCTTCTATGCAGGGTTGTTATGCAGCCGAGGCGTTCAAGTCTCGGTCTAAATTCAAGCGAGCAATTTCATAACTACCTATGCCAGATGGCCAGGTAATCATTTCTACAAGAGGGGGGGCGGTCCAGCAGCATGAGCCAGCCTCAATGATACCTGCGGCCCTCAGTACTCACTTCTCTACCTTGTTTGGCCTGCCCAGGGCCTGCAGGAACGAAGGTCTGCAGCCTTGAAGTTCAGCTGGCGAAGCTCAATGCGATGCATTGGGGTGCAGAACACCTCTGAAATCGATCCCATCTTAGGCCAAAAGGCCGTCTGCCGCAGGTAGTATCACAAGGCCCCTGTTTGTTGAGGGAAGTTGTCTATGCGAATCAGGATGTTGAGGACTCTCTTACTTTTTGACATGTCACTCCCAGCGTCCGGACAGAATTTCAAAACCAACGCAACCCAAAGAAGCTCGGATTTAGCTTGCGGCAGTCTACTAGGGTGGAAACAGTGCGCCGAGAGTCCCTGTTGCCGCAGAGTCCCAATAGTCGCTCAAACATTGCCTGGCAGACTCGGACACTGAGCTGCTGGTGACAGACCTGAGCTGCCTCAATCAAACACAACGTACAAATCATGATGGTAGCTAATGCTGTCGGCAGCAGTGTGCTGCTGCTGTTGCTGCTGCTACTGTCGGTAGCGCAGCGGCGGGGCGACTGCGGGGACGGTCGTACTAGCGGGCGGGGGCATGAGCAACAATGCGGGGAGGGCGATGGTGGTACAAGTAGCAGCTGGCTGTGGCAGCGGTGATGGTTTCGGTGGCGGTGGTAGCGGCCGTGACGGCAGTGGAGGCGGTGGTGGTGGAAGTGGTGGCAGCATGAAGGCATGAAGGACAGCAAGTAAGTCTTAAAACCTGAACAGTAGACCAAAGCAGCTGCTGAATTTGACGACCATACCCCTGCTACCCAAAGCGTCTACGGACCCATCCTGTCATTGTAGGTGGTGGCGGCGGCGGCGGTCCGTCCTTCTCCTCCTCCAGCTCCTTCCTTTGGTTTTGCTACTGCTAGTATGGCTACGGCTACCACTTCTGCAACCACTACTAGTAGTTGTTCCTTGCAACATAAATGGAAGAAGCAGAGAGAGCGGCCTTGGCGATGGCAGTGCGCATGCTCTGAAAGGATGCTGATGGTGACC